CCCCCCCCCCCCCCTCCTTTTGCAGCCGCCCTCCCTTCCCCAACTCCACCCCCCCAAGCAACGACTGCAGCACTCACATTGTCCAAGTCCCAGCCAGGCCAGACGAATGAGTGCAGTGACTATGACGACGAAGCCACAGCCGAGAGCCCAGTTCAGCTATTCATGAATGGGATGGTGACAGACACAGCGGAGCAGAGTGATATTGGACGGGGATGGTGAGGAGGCATAGATATTAAAACAGTCCAAGAAAGACTCAGGCTAGTTAATCCTCAGCGCATGCACGTCAGACCACAATTCTCCCTACTCCCTCCTCAGTTAGTTCCTCCACCCCCATTCAGTGATGCGGGTAAGAGGCCCCTTGCTCTCATATCAGAGTTGTGATGTATCTGTGCAAGGAATATGAGTGGGAATGATATACAGAAAGCCAAGTTGCAAAATCACATAGATGTCCAAGTAGTCGTGTACAAGCAGAGAGCACAAATGCACCGAGAATCCATCCAAATAAGAGCAATACAATGACGTCATGAGCCAATGTTCAAGCCCTCAGGCCACACAAACACAGTATCCAAAGTCGCTCCTCTCTGTCTGGCGCCCAGCGCCCAGCCTACACTACTCGACTATCCTACCTACATCAGCATTCTCGCAACAGGCTCACTTCGACTCTTGAAGACCAATGTACATGACGTCAACACCATAGCTGACCTCTCTCATGTACCAGGTACGTATCTCGTCTCCCCTCATCAGACCGTGTCCACCCACACACGCCTCCTTCCTGAAGACCACCGATCGCCCTCTTACCCCCTAGCGCCCTGCAGCCTGGCTATGGCAGCTAGCGCTCTGCTGCCCAGCAGCGCCCCTCTTCTCCTCACACGCGCCCGCACGCGCTCTGGCCTCAGCGCAGCAGCGTGACCGCATTGCCTGCGTGGGCCAGAATGCCAGACCCTGGCTGCCTTCCTTCCTATATGGAAGTGGCAGCCTCTGCTTGGCTGTGTGTGGCCTGGCTGGGAAGGTTCCAGTAGCTTCCGGTCGGGCCCCAGTCTGTGCGCCAGTTGGGCACGGCCTGAGTATGCGGACTTGGGCCGTTTGCTGCATTTGCACAGGACCTGGGGTATGCACATCGACAGTGCTGCTTTTGCGTAGGCCTGTAGCCACTTCGTGATGTATCGGCCCTGCATTGTGTGTATGTGCCCAGGTGCAACTGCCACGGCCGGGGCCAAACTGCATGGCGCAGCTTAGGGAGGCTCACGCGTCCACTCAACCAACTGGCGGGCTGCAACAGCCTGAGTACCCACATATGAAAAATGTCGAATTTTGGCCTCTAATGAATATTCAGGCCCGCCTTCACTTAGGCCAGGCACTTGGCTTGCTGGGGCCCTCTGCCCAGAACATGTGCATGTCTGATAAGGGCCCCACGAGGGCTCAGTCCTCGCATCTGGGACGCTGGACCCGCTTTCCAGCAAACGCTGCGCCTCTCTCCTCTCTTGGCTTCTCTCTCTCTCTCGCTCTCCCTCTCTCTCTACACTCACACTCTACTACTACAAACATGCGGCTATGGACGCCTGCCTGCCTCAGAACAGTGCTGCCCAGCAGGGCCCTTAGCGCTCAGCCACTCGTGATAGCGCACAAGCACCAGCAGCGGTTCCACTTTCTCACGATTGAGCAATCTGCCAGAAAAGTGGCTGGACAGTCCCTATATTGACTTCGACTGGGCCTTGACTCGTCCCAGCCTCTGATTCTCTTGGCTTGACTTGGACCCGGTACCGGTGGCCCGCGGCCTGTTTGCTTTTGGAATGTCAAGGCCCGGTACCTTCCAGAGTTCTCCTTGCCGTGCTGCTCCTTTTGGACTAAGGGACGCGACTCTTGACTGTGGGACGTGACTTTTGCCTGTGGGATGTGACTTTTGAGTGGGTACCGGTTGGACTTGACCTCTGGGGTACCGGACTTGATCTTGTTCTGTGTCTGGCTAACTTAGCCTCTTTTGACCTGGGAATTTTTGACCCTGAAATCCGAATTTGCGGTCTGCAGCGTGAAATGCCTTTCAACAACAAGTATTACTACAATTCCAGAAGGAAAAACTGTTGCACTAAGTACTAACCCAATTCCAAAAGGAAAAACTGTTCCACTAAGCACCACTACAATTCCAGAAGGAACAACTGTTGCACGCACAACTTTTGGGAGTGTAAACACGTAATCTAATATACAAGCACATAATTTCTTCACTTCTGGTGACACCATGCACTTGACGGACTTATATCAAGTTGGAACCGGACCTGAATAATAGGCACAGTGATTCGGATTTCCAAATGCAGTGTCCACTTCATGGTGCTTATGTTGACAGGAACTATGTGAAGTTGATCCTGTGGGGACGCCCTTGAAGTGCTGGCCAAGTACACAACTGACAATCCCGCTAAGGAGCTCGCCGCACCACGCGCCAAACGCCAACAATTTTAATGTAGCACGACCAACCCTGGGTCCAAAGACATTCAATATGTTGGTGTTTGGTGAGTTGTGCGGCAAGGACCTGAGCTGGGAAGTGGTTATCTCAATACCTCCTAAAGGCTAAAAGCAGTCCTCAGCTGACACCCCCTCCGGGCCCAGCAAAAACCACTGGCACACGAGAGGTCTCGGGGGGGGGAGTGTCTCGTGGGGAACCGCAGCACAGATTCTGTTCTCGAAGCAGGCTGACTGGGCATTGCGCCACTGCTCGCGAATGAATGTTGGCATTGAACCCAGAAAGACACATCCGGAGTGGCAGCTGCCGATCGGACCGAAGTGTCGAGAGGAGAACCGATGGACGGGTACATCGAGACGGCCGGCCGGCCGGAAGGCGTCGAGGAGATGGCCATATCACTCCGGATGGACTGGTACAGACACATGACAATTCTAGAAATGTGGGCAGCTGCCCCTGAACGCGTTGGAAGGTGCTGACGTGCGTGTCGGCACATGTATGTATATAACCACAATGTGATGATGCACATGCTATGACGACAAATGTGGACCGCCATGATGATAATGCCCGTGTTATGGTGATTACATTGCTGATGACGTGGACATGGAAAGCGTTCGTATATCCTGAGTGGATTCATGGTGGTGTCAATCGCACTGACCGAGTGGACGGAGATTGGTGCATCACATCTCCATTCGGATTTGGTGGGAAAGGGGAAGATGACAAGCCGGAGGGGGAGGAACGGGAGGAGGAGGAGGAACAGGAGGAGGAGAGGGGGCAGGACGAGTACGAGGACGAACGGGAGGAGGAGGATGGTGAATCGGAGGAGGCAGAGGGGGACGGCGACGATGGGCAGGATGAGGTCGATGAGTGGGAGGAGGAGGAGATTGGGGGGCCTCGGGAGGAAGAGGCAGGACAAGTGGAATGAAGAGGGGGAGGATGACCACTTGGAGGACGAGGAGAAGCATGAGGATGAGAAACGGGAGGAGGATGACAACAAACAAAAGGAGCGGCAGGAAGAGTGGAATGAGGACGGGGATGACGAGCGCTAGGTGGACCGGGAGGAGGTAGGATGATGAGCGGGAGGAGGAGGAGCGGGAGGGGGAATGGGAAGAGGACGAGGGGGAGGACGAGCAGGATGACCGTGCTCCTGCCCCATCTCCACCTCTCGTCCCGCCCATCATCCTCCCGCTCCTCCTCCCACCCCATGCAATGACTGTCACAAGCAGAAGAGAAGTGGGAAGAGATGACGAACGAGAGGAGGAGAAAGAGGGAGAATGAGGATGAGGGGGAGAGGGCCAAGCAGGAGGGGAGCAGAATGTGATGGCACAGCAGAAGCCAACGGGCGAGGAGGAAGTGGGCGGGAAGAAGGTCGTGAGCAGGGAGGAGGACATGAGGGCATAGAAGGGGGTGGCAGGAGGACGCGTGGAGATGGTGGCATGACGAGGACGAGGTGGCCGAGGAGTAGGATGACGGTTCGTTTGTGCTTCTGGCGTTTTTCGTTTTTTTTGGAGAGAGAGAGATGATTGTGCTCCCCCTCCTGTTCGTGAGACCTGGCAGGAGATGAGGGAGCAGGAAGAGGTGTGCCGTGGGAGTAGCCGCGGCAGGTCGACTTGTTATGCAGTCAAAGACAGACATTCCCCATGAAGCTCGCGACGCCTGATGAAGGACACATTCCCACTTCGAATTTTACCCTTTTTCCTTTTCTTTTGGATTGATTATGTTTGAGCGTCCATCCAAATGCCACATTGCATGGAAGCATCCAACATTACATTTGGAAGTTTGAACCCCCCAGACAAGGCACCATCACAGCACATAGCCCTGGAACTGGACACATGGTACCATTTGCTCACATGTCCAGCTTGAGCCTTCCCTCACAGTTTCCAGGCCTTCAGCTTGACCCAGTATCCTGCAGTTACACTTTGAACTTTAAACCCCAGGATACTGGTGGTTTGAAGTTTAACCACCGTTAAAAATGCCCAGTCCTTCAGAAGTATCCTGCGTTGAAACTAAACCACCAGTTGTTCCGAGCCTCATTTTTCCGATACACTTGTGTCCGGCCCTAAGAAATTATCGTGGCATGGATTTGCCTGGCGCTGCCAGCCTTTTCCTTCCACTAAGAAAACATCGCGGCATGGATTTGCCTGGCACTGCCAGCCTTTTCCTGATGGGCACTCCAAGCCTTTCCACAGCTCCATGTTAACCGGCGTTTTTCTTCCCAAGAACAGGGCCAACAACTGACGGTTTGTTTGTTTTGTTTTGTTTGTTCGTTTGTTTGTTTGTTTGTTTGTTTGTTTGTTTGTTTGTTTATTTGTTTGTTTGAACTCCATGAGACTGAGAAAAGTACCCGCCAAATATTGAAGAGCTCAAGGAACAGATTCACTAGAAGACACAAGAGCAGCTAGGAGGGTTGCAGATTTATAGATTTTTTTCTTAATTCATTTTCGTTGAAATTGAAGATGAGCGTGAATCCAGGTGGGGGGGCAGTTGTCATTGGTTGCAAGACAGCCGAAGGAGGTACAGATTGTTGGTTCTCTGTGTGATCAGGACATATGGGTGTACGCTTTACCTCACTGGAAAAGAGGTGAATCCACAAAGCTCAGCAGTGAAAACAGAAGTTTCGTTTCATTTCAAAAACTTACAAATTTCATTTGATAATTTTGATTTCAAAATCTTTGTATTATCATCAATTACATATCAACTGGCAAAAGAAAGTGGGCAAGACTCAGCAGAGCAAGGTAGGCCTCTTGTTTGGCTGTCGGCCTGTCGCCAGCCTAATCTTGCGGATCACGGGAAAAAGGACCAATCCATCACTTCGACGCCGCCGCGGCAGCTGCTGCAGCAGCCTTCTTCTCCCTGAAGTATTCCTTCTTTGTCCACTTTTTCTTATGGCCTTCGACTATGACAGTGCATCCTGCTGCCTCCAACTTTGCCCTGGCCGATGCCGAAAAACTGCCGGCTCTAACGGTACACTTCACAGGAACTTCCCCATCTCCCAAAACCTGCATGCAGAACATGAAAAACGGCCGGTAAGCAAAAACATAATGACCATTTTAGCACGCCCAACAACCCATATGAGGTCACGCGTGGTCAGCAACAGGATTCCCGCAGAACTGCTGAGCCTATGTGCATACTGGCAAACTGTGGCAAAAATCACCACTGTAGCACAGCCAGCCAAAACCTGCCCGCCGGTGAGCAAAAACATAAAGACCGTTCTAGCACAGCCAACGACCATTGAGGCCACACATGGTCAGCAACAGGATTCCCGCAGACGGCAATAATCACTGCAGTAGCACAGTCAGCAAGCAAGAACATAATGAGCATTCCATTCTAGAACAACAACCTGCTACTCACCAAAGTGCGAGGGAGTATGACTTTGAGATGTCACACTCACCCACCCCCCAACAGCGCCCACACCTTGACCCCTCCTGTACAGATTACTGCACTCATTCAGCCTTTGTGGCCATTCCGATCGCTACCATTTCCTTATGAGCCCAAGGATGGGGTTTCTGCCAGTTAGCTTTCAGCTCATTCAGGCCTGTTCTAATCTTTCTCTTGAGGAGTGATGCCATTTCCACAATGTAAGACTTCAAATTTCGGGCAGGAATGAAGAAGCAAAAGAAAGAAGAGAAAATCCGATGATGTCACCATGTTTTGATATGACATAGGACAGCCACCATTGGGTGGGTTTCTCTTCACAACATGCTACAATGTGTCCATGCCACAGGCAAAAAGCAAAGAGGAAAAATAACTCGTTCATTCAAAGACGCTTTGCTGCATGGTATTCGCAGGCATCCATACACCAGGGAGCGATCCCTACACGAGACACAAATCTCTACAGCACAGAGGGATTTCAGAGCAGGGAGGGCGATACACACAGTTAATACATCCAAACGGCTGTGGAGCATCAGCCACGGGCAACGGTGAATGGCAAGCTGCACGGCAAATGTGGGTGGAAGTTTTAGCAACGGCCCTTGGATGAGGACAATCGATGGTCGGGCGCGTGCAAGAGGGGTTTTCCACCGAACTGCTCATTGCGCGCCAACAAGGAGGGTGCGGCATTGATTGGAGAGGGCAAACGACGGGTGTGGAGGGAAAGGAATATCTGCGAAACAAGGCCATCCGATTGTAGGAGTCTTCGTTTTCCGTTGATGGGCGTCTTTCTCACAGCAGGCCTGCGAGGAGCTGTTTGTCATTTCCAGCGTTGGGACGAGTTCATTTGTCCTTCATTGTTCTTTTTCTTTTTAGTGCAGGCACTGCCCGCACTGCCCACACCACGGCGCTAAGCTAAGCATATATAATGATTAATAATAATCAATTAAATAAAGGGAAGTTCCGTAACTGGTCAATAAAATGCAAGCAATTTGGGATGAAAAAGAAAACCCAACATTCATCAAATGGCAGAGATTCGCTAGATGCTTGGTAAAAACACACACCAATCACATCAACCACAGTTAGAGTGCAGTGAGTCGATGACAGATAAACAATCAAAGCATGTTAGGTATCCTAACCAATTCTCGATGAAGGTCGAGATGACAGGACTCTTGTGCTGATGTTGTTATACAGAAAGTGACTTCTCAGATTTATCTAATCTATTGTTGGGAGATTACGTACTACCCTGGGATGGCCAGGATGCACGCAGCCAATCAGCTGCTTGATCAACTTCAGAGTTAGCCGCACTGTCACTTCTCCGCAAGGTCAGCAGAATGTTGCGCTGCGCATAGCAGACACAGAGGATCACCGCATAACACCACAGTCTTATCTCCCTGACTCCGAGAAGAAGAATGGCACTCTGGCGTGAAGTAATGCCACAACGAACAGGTCATTTCTTCCTCATTAGCACGGACAGAAAAGGGCATGGGGAGGGAAGGAAACAAGAGGAAGAAGGATGGGCGTGAACGGACGGACACACATGGACAAACTGATGGACGGACAGAAGACGGATGGATGGACGGATGAACAGAGGGACGAACGGACAGACGGCCGCACAGATGGACAGACAGACAAACGGACAGACAGAGGGACCGAGGAACAGACGGACGCATGGACGGACAGACGGATGGACAGAGGAACGGACGAACGAACAGATGGACGGACAGACGGACGGACGGACGAACTGACGGATGGATGGTTGGTCGGATGAACTAATGGACGGACAGACGGACGGACGGAAAGACAGACTGACGGACCGACGGATGGAAGGACAAACGGACCGACAGACCGACGAACGGACAGATGGACAGACGGAACGGACAGATGGATTGGTGGAGAGACCCTGTCTGTGTATCCTTTCCTTCCAAGACGATTCATCAAGCAGTAAGACAAGGGAACAACAAGATGGTGAAGAAGTCCATGCTACCTTCAAAAGAAGCCTCCGATCCCGTCCAGTTGGCTTGACTAGTCTTTTTGCTTTCAGACTTTCCAATGTGATCTCCTCGCCCTCAACAGCACCCTTCTCAAACAGATCCTCCAGATTCATTGCCACATACTTGGGTAGGCCAGCACCCATACCTGCAATTCACAAAACGCAATCCAATGGTGGAAATCAACAAAGTGCAATCCAATGGTCCACATATCAATTGATGATTCCACACCAATTTCTAGTCCGCTCATTGAAACACAGAGTGGGAAAAATAACTGAGGACAGCATTTCAGTTACTGTGGCACCTTTCTGTATGCCTAACGCCGCTGACTTCTGTCCTCCTGAACAATTAAGTTGATGGACTCGATCAATTCGGTGAATCTGGCGAACGCATTTAAACCCAGTTGGACAAAAGATTGTTGAGGACTCTCTGCACTTTCAAAAAGACAATGTATGATAACAAAGTGTACCGACAAACAGCTGGCTGCAAGTTCTTGATGGTAAGTATTCTTCACATTCATCACCCATGCCCCTTTCCTTTTCTCTTTTTTTTTGTTTTAAATTTGGACCGTTTCTCGACTTATGTGTGTCATCCTTGAGCAGGGGCCATGCTAATCTTCTCTGTATCATTCCAATTTCGACAGATGTCACAAAGGACCCTCACACCCCGTCCAATCATCCACTGGCACACGGATTTCAGACAAGCTGCAGCCGCATGGCATACATGTGTTGCCTCTCTCTCTCTCTCTCTCTCTCTCTCTCTCTCTCTCTCTCTCTCTCTCTCTCTCTCACACACACACACACACACACACACACACACACACANTCTCTCTCTCTCTCTCTCTCTCTCTCTCTCTCTCTCTCTCTCTCTCTCTCTCTCTCACACACACACACACACACACACACACACACACACACACACAAACAAATGCAGACACACTCCTATCTGGCCTCTCCCTATCTCTCTTCCACACGCATACACATACACATTGCTCCTCACACTGCTTTGTCAGTTGGTGTTCACTGTTCATGCCACTGAAGATGCTGATTGTGAGAGTGCATCAACAGCAACTCACATCAACACCCTCTTGTACTCGTGCCGTAGCATCTATTCAATCAGAATTCGATCCTGAGAAGTCGTATGATTTCTTGGAAACACTCACGGAATATGACGACGCAACTTGTGACTTTGCCACAGGTTTGTAATAAGAAACCAGCATCCATGACCGTGCTGCAACCTCACATAAATATTCATCAATGCGAATTTAATTTTTCTCCTTACCCCAAAATTTGAACCATTTCTCAACTTGGTTGTGTCTATCCTTTCCCTCCCGCCCCTCTTTTCTTTTTGCGGAAATAAGAGCATATCCTCGTTCCAGCAGCCATGCTAATCTTCTCTGCATGTCCCACGCTTGACAGATGTCCCACCAAGGGACACGACCAATTTGATATTGATTCTGTGTGAGAATTGGTACAGAATTTGGTCCCAGCAACATTGACGTATACACACCCACCATCTATGGGCAATACCACCCCTTGGTGGTTAACTGGGGGAGATATCATCCCAGTCATTTCTGTGCGCAATACCACCCCGGTTCTTTGGGGGATGCATGAGTCGCTAGTCTGAAACGCACTGCAACCTCCGAAGAATGCATGGAGGAAACTGAGCATTTCGAGAGAAAAAAACGAAAGAAAAACAGTTCAAAACACAGAAAAGTGAAGTGGATTCTCCTATGGGTTGGTACCAGACTCACCTCCAGCAATACCCCTCAGCTTTGGCAGTCTTCTGTAAAGTGGCGTCTGTCCACCTTCAAAACCCGGTCTAACTCCCGGCCCAGATCGTGACTTCTGGCCACGCATACCGAAACCACAGCTCGCACCCTGACCTGCTGCAATACCACGTCCCTTACGCTTTGCACGATGGTTAGATCCCTTCTGTGGACCTAGGTTATCCAGACGATATCTCTCTTCCACTGAAAGTGATGATACACACACACGCACACACACACACACACACGCACACACACACACACACACGCACACACACACACACACACAGTTGGCATGCAGAAGAAACAAAGGTCAAGCAGTTTGACAGATGGCATGTAGAAGAAACTAAGTTCAAGGCATGTAGAAGAAACTAAGCTCAAGCAGTTTGTTTCAAATCTGGATCAAACATCACACACACACACACACACACACACACACACACACACACATACACACACGGGGGGAGGAGGGGGATCAAATTCCTGATGAGTTGGTGAAGTCTGACAAAACAGTAACCAGCCAGTAACCAGCCGATAACCAGCCCGTAACCAGCTCGTAACCAGCCAGTAAACATCCAGTAACCAGCCAGTAACCATCCCATAACCAGTCTGTACCTAAATGGAAAGGAACAGTGGGATCTATCTGCAAGTTATTTCGTAGAGTTTTCAACCTCGTTGTATATTCAGTACTTACTATAGCAAAATGGCAGAAGTCAGTATTTTTTCACTATTTTTAGTTTTTATCTTAGGCTACCAGCCGGGCCGCCCGGGTCACCTTGTTTTCCAGGCCGTGCAAGGGCCAAGGAAGGTCCCAGCAAAAAAAAAAAAATAAAAAAAAATCCGAAAAACAACTATGTTACGCGGAAAAATAAATTGAACAACTTTTTGCCTCACGGTCATATCAAAATTCCTTACCAAATTTAAAATAAAAAAATAATTTCAAATTATTATTATAATATTATTATTATTTATTTATTTTGGCCGGGCCGGGCAAGTGGTCCCGGGCCACTCTGGTAGCCTAGGTTTTTATGAATTTTCATTGCATTTCCATAAATATAAAATAAAATGAATGAAATGGAAATTCGGAAAATAGTAAAACACATTTTAGAAGAACAAGTGGACCCGCCGCAGCCACGCTGCGGCCGAAGATAATGACAAAAAGATTCAGCGAAACAATGCTATCAGTCGGAACGCAGCCCGCAATGCATCCTGACGAGACACTTGCATTGTTAAACTGGCCCGCTCGTGTTCGCAAGAGCCTCCCGTGTGATGTGTCGGATTCCCATAGTTGCAGGATTTGATATTCTGGGGTTTGCGCCGGAGGGAGCTGCCATAATTGCGGATCGACTTTGCCTTGGCGACAACACAACATCGTCCATGGATGTTCGTGTTGCCATTTCTCAGCACGGCAATGAACGCACGGTGTTCTGTCACCGAGTGCTGCAACGGTGACAAAAATATGTTGTGTGATGAGAGCGGCGGTGTAAATGCGTGCCGCATTGAGTCGCGGTTAGATGCGGTTAATATGCATGTGTCTATAACGCTGCTGTTGTGTCCGATGTTCACGGCGTGCTCGTTGTTCTGCGGCGCGAGAAGATTCAGCTGAAGGCGATCACAGTTTTGCAGGGCGAGAGTATTCATCAACACAAACCAAGAACAATATGCACAAAGACCATAGCAATATATTTAGCCGAGGATCAAACAGATACACAAATGCGGGAAAAGCATGCAGCGTCTCACAATATGCACACAGACCATAGGTGATTGATTGATTGAGTGGTTGATTACATCGAATCATTTGTTGATTGATTGATTGATTGGTTGATTGTGCCGTCCCCGCCTTGGCACCACAGCCCCGACGTTGGGGGGGGCAGGGGTAGAAGGACGAAGGATCAAGGACGCACACAGAGAAAGTAAAAGCAGGCAAGGAAATGAATCAAAGTGTTGTGAAATGATAGCAAAAGTTGCCTGTGTGCCGTGGTTCTTGGATTTGAACTGAAAGTGTATGACAGTATCAGCAAATGTGAAAGAAGGAAGACCAAAGGATTGAAGCCTCATGACAGCAATGGCGTTGGCTGTTGTGTGT